GGAGATCTCCTGCTCTAGCTCATCCATCCTGAGCGGTTCTTACAGTAGGCGCTCCTTTGCACGGCTGCAAGAGAAAGAGAAACGACGAGAAAGATGTGTAAGATTACTTCTAGAACTTAAGACATACTCTAAGAGGAAGAAAGTGCAATTAAGGAAGATTTTACATTAGACTTGTTCTTCTTGCAAGATGCAGCCCACCATTTGCTACCAGAACCGTCTATGACTCCACTCCCTTGGAATATGACCCCTTTGAGCTTGGAGAATTCAAGCCAAATCCTCTGGAAATCCGGATTCCATTTGCTGGGCTCGTCTGGTGCCACGATTGTTCCATCTATCTGTAATAAAACACGATTTCAATAACGTCATATAACAGCTCATCATATGCTGTTTTCCTGAGCAGTTTCAAAATCTTGCCCCATTGGTTGTGGTATCATCCATGGCTTTCGGCTTTCTATAAACTTGTTTTGGCCTTTTTTTTTTACATACACAATAGTAAAAGACAGTACAATTTATGATGTCGAAAGGTTTGTCTGAAAAATTCGACCTGAATGATCAATTTGTCTTCACAAGGACCATTGAATTTTGTGGCGTTAACCAGATAGCGGCGGCCTTGTGGAACCAAGAACACGGATCTTGGAGTAGAGCAGGCTGTGCTCCATGCGTTTATAAATGCCTGGTTTTCAGACAAAACACTTCACACATGAGTTGTGGTGACTTATGCCATAAAATCCCACCGATACAAAAAATGATCAATCAGCTAGATCTACATTAATAGAATTTAAGAAATTGTGAAAGATAAAGCCTGCCTGGTGCATTTATCACGATTATTACTAATGAAATGTAATCAGATTCCGACTTGACAAAAGTATCTAAAAAACGGACCTGGGTATCGTCGGAAACACCATCTCCAGCTGCACCAAAGCTATCAACATTCACCAGATTCTTGCCAGAGTGCTGGCTATTGAACGATGGCAAATCAAAGAGTTCCACATCGATATCGTCTTCTGGTACGTCCAGATTCTCGAGGTCCCCGAGAATGTCGACATTGTCATACACCGTTTTCCCTGCAGCTCCATAAGCAGCTATTATCATCAATAGTCCTAACAGGGCGACAACGAAGAGCTTTTCCATCTTCTGCCTGAAAAACACTATGCAAAGATGATTGGCTTTTTTTTTAATGTCTTCTGCCCCGGGATTCCTGTGCAAAGATGATTGGTTTGGTAATGATATGAAGAATGATTGGCTTTGTTCGAATTTATATGCAGATTAATTAAGGGGGTTTTGTGGGTTTTATGGCTTGGCTTAAAAGTACATGAAAATGGCCTCATTTTCTACATACCCACACTTAAAGTACAAGGAATGTGCTTTTTAAATTTCTTTGCTTTACTCCAAAACCTGTACACAGACATTCCCGGTCAACATATGTTCTTGAATGTTGTCCCCCGTGAGTTCTGGTAATGAAATCCAGAATCGCAGGTTGCAGAACATATTTTATGCTATTTTTAGTCTTTTTAGATGTTTTGGAAGAACAAATAACGTACAACTCCTGTAGTCGTTCCCATGTAACACCCAAAAAAAGAAAAAACAAATAGAAGAGGTCAACGAGTTTGTGCCACCAACCTTGCAAATAAGGAACCGAATGTCTTGTGTAGTCGCAGTTGATAATGGAGATGACTTCAAGTGAAAGAAACTATTTCAGATCAGTGGAAGAGAGGTGTGAACTTTGCAAACAGGTTCGGGCTTCTTTTCCATGAAGCTTAAGCAAACACTGTCCTACATCTGTTTACCCAAAAAGACATGCCACTGCTACTAGCCTGCTACCAAATACTCTCAACCACAGTCTCCCCTCATGAGCTCAAATTTCCCGATTTCAGAGCAAAAAGTTCGAAACTTTAACCTAAGAGGCGACATTCTCGGATTCAAGACCCATCAAAATTCTTGCTGATCTTCTCCTTATTGCTTCTTTTCTATGCACCCTTCGGCTTTTACCATGACCTAACAGATCCAACATGCAAACAGTAATGTTTCCTTCCAGGAGAAGTTCCATAATTCGATTCCCATTGAGCCCAACATCAAGTTGGCCTTCCTCAACCAGCTCCGAATGGCTGCAACCTGATAATACACACAACAGTGTAACTTCAACCGGGACAAGACCCTTTCGATCCATTGCTCTAAGCATGTTATTATTAATGCAATCTCGTCCCATGCCATTTCGAGCATAACCCTTGATGATTTATGTGAAACTGAAGACATTAGGCAAAGCAAGCTCATCAGAAAAACCTTTCAAGTCTGTTCAAACCTGACCACATCCTGAATAAGCCTCAATCAAAGAGCACGATACTGCAATGTCAGATGCAGGAGCGGATTTAATATCAAGAGTACCAATAGCATCAACCGAATCATGCAAGGACCCGTTTCAGGATATAACATCCATTTCAGGAACAGCTTCCAATGACCTATTGGCCTTTATTAAACTACCATAATCGGAGTAAAAATCCATCCAGATATTAGAATCAGTACATCCAGATTTAAGCAGATGGGAATGCAGCTGCTTCCCTTCATCTAATAACCCGCCATTAGAGCAACCACGGATATGGAAAAGCCCATTTGCTAAACCAACGCAATAGTGAATTGCAAACTGCAGCATTTCTCTCAGGCATTCCCTCGAACAACTTCAAAGCTACATTCTCGAGCCGCATAGACATGCAAAGGTCAATAAGCGACGAAGCCACGAACAAATTACAACCCAAACCCAAGCGAAATCACACTGCAATGAACTTGAACATCTTCTCTACAGAACCCAGCATCGCTACATATACACTGAGAAACCGAAGAAAACGTGGAGGCATTCTCTCTGAGACCAGAGGGGACCCATCTCAGCAGCATAAAGCTTCATAGCTTGTCTGGGGCGCCCGTTTGGGCTATCACCAGAAAATAACGAGATTGTAGGAGACAACATCCCGTACAGGAACCCGATCGAACAGGTCGTGAGCAGAGAGCAAGTTCCACGAACTTAAAGAACCAATCAATATATCGGTTAAGAGCCTGAATAAACAACCTGGTTAGGGCTTTCCTCAAGGTACGAGCCCAGCATTGATGGAGGAGCAGCCATGGATGGAGCGGGACACCATTGTTGAGCTCATGTCGTTAGTATGTGTCGAAGCCTCCACAATATGTCTTCGTGTAAACTGATTCCGAGGTTATTTTCCCCTAACAAATGTAACTCGTCTTCTTACACTCGTAAACAAATCAACGGAACAGAACAGTTCTTTGAGACATTGGCAAATGAAAACACATACAACATCAAACACAAAATGACAAAGTTCATACCACCCAATTTGCCATTTATATCAGATATAAAACATATAGATCAGACATAAAAACAAAACCCACACAAGTAACATTGAAAGATCTGACCTTTCACTTTGAATGAGTGATTTTTATTACACAGACGATCAGAAGAAGGTCATTCTTCCCCGCCTCCATTGCTTGGTAAACGAAGCCAACAAACCCAGAAAGTATCTGAACCTCGAGAGACCGTCTTTACCACAAATTCCAGCTGATTTACAATCCCAATTCCAAACCAAAGAAACAAGCCTTCACGAAACGCAATAAATATACATTTTAAGTTTACACGAGGGGAATACAAAGGCTAACATGTCAAGGCAATGGCTTCCATGAGAGCAGCCACGAACTGCATCTGCGTGTTTTCGTCGATTCTGGAGAAGAGAGGGACGTGAACGAACAGAGATTTGTGGCCCTTCTGCTCTGTGAACCGGAGCGAGTGGTAGTACACGTAGTTGCATACAAATCGGCCAGCGTCGTCTGATAGTACGATGTCATATCCCCTGTTCTTCAGATTCTTTAAGATCACCTCCGTTGAGCACGACGTCTTCACGATACAAAGATCAATTTGAATCCGATTAGAATTTCATGACAAAAAAAAAGGTTACAAATTTGAATCTTTGTTAAGATTCGAGACCCAGAGACTTAGGCAGTGAAGTTGTACCTCTTTTATCTTGGAAGTTCCACCATCTTCCGAGACTATAGGAACCCGCTGAGTAAGCAAGGGAATTAGTAATTAGCTGTGTTGCTTTAATGTGTTACTTTGTGAAGATTTTGTCATTTGTGAAGAAGGTGGAATTGGTATACCTGTGGTTGCCAGCCTAACTCGTCAGGACAACGGAAATGAGCTTCGTTCACGGCCTGCCTTTCAATGGCAAACTTTGTCGCCCCACTATTCACCCCAAGATGAAGCTAAAAGAAACACCAAACCAAACCAAGACAAGATCCATTTAGATCCCTTGAGCAGTTGAAGGAACACTTCAAGTTACAAAAACCAGTAACTTGATTCTTCAAAACAACTAAACTTTCTAACAGAATTCGACAAACTTCCCCCAAAAAGGAAACCCCATAAAACAGCATTCCAGCAAACAGGTAAAAACCCAACGTGACGGAAACACAAGGGCGTAGATACATGACTATGTTTAGGGTGCAGAGAAAATCAGGGCCTGAATATGTAGGAGGGGATCAGTTTTCGTTTGTGGGCATGCTTAATAAGCCAAAGTTATCAGCTTTAGGACTGGAAGAAGACAGAACATAATAGGAAGCTTCGAAAAGGAGTGAAATTTTTGTGATATCTAAAACACAGAGACAGAAAGGGACAAAACAAAAACAGAGAAAGATTACCCAGACAACAGTTTGATTGCTGTTAACGGATCCAGAGACAGGCGACTCCAAGAGCTTGTAAAGTTGGGGCCTTGCGCCTTCACCAGCAGTCTCAAGAACAGTGCAGCTTCCAAGGGTCACTCCCTCGGGCAAGCCTCTTTTCTCCGTATACTCCTTCAGATTATTCACTATTCTCTCCGTTGGATTTTCAACCACCCCTAGAAACTTCTTGAACCCCGTCACGTTAATGGTAATACCACCCTTTGCACCTTCTGACCCCATCCCTTCCTCTTTCACTTCCCTGTTTTCGTCCAAAAATTGCTTCAAGCCCAAGAACTGGTCATCATCATATATCATCAAGGACCACGCGAGATTATGAACAACCACCATCATTAAGATTCAGAGATGTGACGTAACCTAACCAGTTGAAAATACTTGGTTGGTTTTCCCTGCATCTGTTTACAGTTTGGTTCCGTGTTTTGATCTGATTGCCTTTTTGGGTTTGTTTTCAGAGAATGATCTCAATTGTTTTATCATGAACTCCGATACCCTGTTTCTCATATGGCTTCGACTCTCCTCTTGTTTTCAACTCATTTGCAAATACAGAGTTCTCTGCCCCAAATCCAGATACCAACCCCCGAGTGAGCAGCCTTAATTTCATCCAACAATTCTAACTCGAAACACATCGTAATAGACAACATCGATTGCACATATCTAAAAACAGGATTCCGACAAATCTCCGCACAAGTTCATAGAAACCATCGATTCATCGCAAAAAAACAAGATAGAGTTGACCAAACTCGTTGATCAAAGACCAAATTGCCCAGTGGTTCTTGAAATTCAGAGAGAGAAACAGATAAGACGATTAACTCTGATCGGGAATTTACCTGAGAAACTCGATCCAAAAACTCTCGATGACTTCTGAATCCTCCTAATGAACAAGACCTGGCTTCTGTTCAGGCTTTTCGACCGAATAAGAGAATTCGAGTTCCACGATGTTCTAATTATAAACTCTTCTTACACAAATGCCCCCCGTTTACGGACTTAACCACGAAAATACCACTAGAGTTTGGCCGTCCATCATGACGCGTCATCTACAGCACCATCCAAAAAGGCCAAGCGAGTCGTCGTCGTTATCCAATCAAGCAAGGGGAAGGTCTGATGACATGGCGTTCTCTTATTGGACGAGAGGCAAACAAGTCAAAGTTGAGCTCGGGAGTAGGAGAATCTATTGAAGATGGTGCGCCGACGGACCCACCGACGTAGAATTGACATTAAATTTACGAAATGGCCCTTTTTAACAACAATTTCCTCTTATTTTTTTCATTTTGAAATCTGCATTTCATTTTCTCAGTTCCGAACGAACGCATTCACACTTATTTGATTGTATCAATAATATACGGACAGAACTACCGATATGACGGAGAAGCCATGACAAAAAGGACAAAAACGGTGGCCATTGATTGCACCTTTTGCATGCATGTGTTAGGATTCGACTGTTTATACCGCAGCGGTTGCGGTTGTGGGTGGCAGTATTTTCAGAACGTTTGATAGCGATTTGATAGCGATTATAAATGATTAGTACTGATTGGCTGAGAAATGACTGTTGATAGCGATTGCGCGTAGGTGTAGTTAGAAGTCAATGGTTCATTACTGTTGCGGTTGCATTTTGATATAAATTGTCAAAAAATATATTATTTAAAAATAATTTTTTATAATAGTTTTAATTAAATTTTTAGTATCATTTGATAAAAATTATTTACTAAATTAATAATAATTAAATAATAAATTTAAAATATAAATAGTATCAATTTAATTTATTTTTAACTAAAAAATTAATTTTATTATAAAATTTATTAAAAATAATCATTATTAAACCTAAAAATTATACTATTGTTTTTTTTATTAAAATATAATACTAAAAAATAATATCAAATCATAACACTAAACAAAATCATCACTAATATATATACTAATGATAAAAATTATTTACTAAATTTATAATAATTAAATAATAAATTTAAAATATAAATAGTATCAATTTAATTTATTTTTAACTAAAAAATTAATTTTATTATAAAATTTATTAAAAATAATCATTATTAAACCTAAAAATTATACTATTGTTTTTTTTATTAAAATATAATACTAAAAAATAATATCAAATCATAACACTAAACAAAATCATCACTAATATATATACTAATGTTTTATATAATTTCTAATAAAAATATTATAGTTTTTTTGTCAAAACACCGGAAACCGCTACCAAAACGCAAGTTGAAAGTTGCGATTAGAAAACACAAGTTTGGTTACGGTTGCGATTGGTTGCGGTTCAACCGGTCGGTTTTTCAATCGCTCGCAACCGCCGAAAATTGCAACCGCTCCGTTTGCGGGTGGCGGCGGCGCTCACTAGCCACCTCCTTATTCATTTACATGTAAATATTTGTCTGTCTTTATAATCGAAATGCGTAAAATATGTCTTGATTGGATACAACAGTAAGAAAATGTTTTTAAAGTGAATACAAATCACAAGCTCTCGTGGAGTCAAACTTCAAAGGAAGCTACAGCTTCTTATGAAAAAAAAAGGGTAATTATATATTCATCGTATCACAAGGTAATCTGTAGGAATCATTCTCATAAAATAAAATCCTAACCTTTATAATCTCTCTAACAAGAGATTCATATATATATATATATATATATATATATATATATATATGTATGTAAATGTCAAGCTTTATAAAGAGAGAATTGTGCATGCAAATATGAAGCCTGGAAATTATAATTAAAAAAACATGGTAAAAGTTAAGTTAGTGGGTGGAGTCAGTGTCTTCAAGTTCCAGAGATCAGAGTTACTGAAGAAAACTCTCATTCCCAATACATACTTTATTCACTCCTCGAACAAACCCACCACCCCCAGCCCCTATGGTTGAAACTCTAACGTAAGCCCTAGATGAAATGAAAAACCCTAATTCCACACTCCGTCAATATCTCTCGTTAATTTTATGCCCTTTTTTTAATTGTCTCTTGAATGTTTTTTGTATTCCTCTCTTACTCGAATGGCGATTTCCCCCAAATGGAATGCCTCGGAGCTTTTCTCTCACGGTACCCATTACTGCCTTCTTCATGGCCCGGCAAGCAAAACTGAAAATTAAACAAAAACGAATTTAATAGATAATATAATGATGATTATTGCATGAAATATATGTATTACACTACAACAAAAAAGAACTCAATGGGTAATGACAATGGGGAGAACATAAGCGCATGTGATTATTAGCGAGTTTGTCTAATAGATATGGATTTGTTAGGAATACGAATGATTATTAATTAAACCTTTTTTTAAAACCATGTACCCTCACTATAAATTAACTATTTCACCCAAATTTTGTATACTTCGACTAATGAAATTGAACGTAAAGCATCTCTCTCGTCCCGAATTCGAATCTCAAATTTGTGAAAGGAACATATAATTGAATCATATAACTGTTTTCAACCCCAAAATAACTAATTCGTACGTACGTATTTATCCGGAGTTTGAATTGTCAAACCGTACGGTTTCCAATTAAGCGAATATACAGAAGAAGAAAATTACCTCATGATTAGCGGAATCATGGAGAGAGTTGTAGGGTGCATTTTGAACTTCTTGGCTAAAGCATTGATCAGCCCCTCTCTTGTGATGCACACGTGGAAAATGTGCCCACTTGTTTAAACCCCCAAAAACAACATGACAATAAAAAAGGGTTAGTCCAAAATCACATCCCTATAATTATTAAAGATTTTCAGTTCGACTAATCAGTGAAAAGTTCGGTTTTTGTTCCTCGTTTTTTGGATTATAGTTTAAGTTTATACGTTTTTGGCGGCCAAGCTGAAAGCTTCCTTGTGGGCAATGTTGGGATTTTGAGCCTTTAGCCTACTGATCTCTTCCCTGCTTTCACATCAACACCATTAAAAATAAGAAACCCCTCAAAACCAAAACTCATAATGTGAACTATTATTTCCTAGCTATATACTACAGTATACATATATATGTATATATACATATATGTATATGCACGTCTCTTACTTGATGAAGCAATTGTAGGCAGAAGGAGCCCTTTGGCGTCTCTCCGGAGCTGTACAGTTTTCCAATTGAAATCGTAGGGATATCATAATTAAAATCATTCAAAGCCTAGAAAATTGCATACTTATAATGTTATAATATAAATATACGTACGTACGTTTATTGACCACTTGGTTAACCCGTGGCACATCTTCGTCTTCATTATCCGAATATGCCACCAAATTTGGACTGTACTCTTTCGCTTGATGCACTTTACATGCTTCTTGTTCCGCGGTTGCCTTTATGATATCTTCTTTCCCCTGCAGGGGATTGAGTGTAGCAATAGATATAGAGGAGTGAAATAAATATGACACTAGGTTTACCTTGAACACACACACACATATATGGAGATTGATAGTGTGGATGATGGGTTTTGGTCGCTTGATGTTATATCTCAAACCCAAGAATATGAATGTCCGAAACCAGATCCCCAAATGTATGGAAAGGAAAAGCCCGAGGAAAATAAAATAAAAAACTCCAAATATCTGAGAAAGAAGAAGGATTTGAGGCATGCCTAACAATTAATATGTATTAATTAGCATGATTACAGAGGTACAAATACTGCGCCTTTGTGTGAATCTCATTAACACGAGGCAAAAGTTACAGCATAAGAAACGTGTGTGTGTGTATATATAAAGGTGAGTGAGTGTACATGTATGTGTAAAGACCTGATCGTGATGGGTGAGGGAAGCGATGAGATGGAAAGGGATGAAGGAAGCTTTCATCATATTGACAGAAAGGAGGCTGGTGCAGTGCCCACATCTCACAGTCACCACCTTTGACAAGCTGCTGAAAGGCACGCTCACCTGATCATCATCATCACCATCATCATACACAATCTTCACATATAGACTAAAAACGATACACCTTTTCACATGAGGAAGACGTATATATAATGATCAAATTGCAGACCACACCAGTAAAATTGTGGTGCAGAAGCCACATTGGACATGGCAAATCTGTCCCGGCAGATCAAACAACTGGTTGAGAGTTGTCATGTTTTGGGTATGTTAGAGAGAGAGAGAGAGATTAACGTGGATATAGTTATCAGTATAGTGAATGAGAGTGGGGTTATATATATATGTATGTATATATAGGCGAGATATATATATAGCTAGCTAGGCTGCTGTATGGTTAAGGAGCATTAATAGTGTAGTCCTATACATATATATATATATATGAATTGCTTTGGTATTAAGCTAAAAACACAGGTTCTGAGTTTCTTCGTCTTCACTCACAATAAATGAGTCTCCTCCTCTTTGGTGATGAGTAAATGATTCCTCACTCTCTGCTTTTAATCTTACTTCTGCTTTTAGACAGGCGATATCTACTACTCCTACGCTGCGCCTATGAACACTTTCTTTTTCCAGAAAGCTGAAACGTATTGATTCCACCCCATTTACCCTCTTGGATTATCTCTCAATATTGTTTTTTGGAGTACCGTATAATATATATATATATATCCCATTACTTAGACATCTAATGAGCTTAAAATTGTTTTCCACCATCATTTGCATCATCATCATCATATATATAGTCCATATATATATGATACCCACTCATCGTTCTCTTTTGGGTTGATGTAGTTCAGATTCAGATGAGCTAATTGGTAAGGAAGTGTTTTGTGGTTTTGAAGCGTTCAAGTGTGGCAATAAGACGACTAATAACAAGGGTGATCAGAACTGGTATTTCAAAAGACAAGTTTCCACAAGGGAAAGAAATAATAAATGGCGAGGAGTTCCATGCAGGAAGAGCCTCTTTGTCTCATGTGTTGTTGTCTCCTTAAATGTTGTGTCTTTGACTCTCCCGAGCTCAGTTGAAGTGAAAGAAGAGCGTGTTGCAAAGTGGGTGGGCGAGTTTCTAGGGGCGCGAGTGAAAGTGGGGGAATCTTAGGATTTGTCTCTTTCCTCATTCAGAGCAACTGCAATTGGCATCTCTCCCCGAGTTTCAGTGCTCTCTCTATTCATGTCATTTCCACCATCGCCCTCTTTATTGCTTTTCTTGGCCACCACAAACCCTAATATCTCTTCGAAAATCTCACAACCAGATTCAGCTGTCTCCACAAGAAATCATTCTTCACAAGTTTCTCAAGCCAGATTTAAAAAAAAAGGAGAGATTTAAATGATTATATGAATGCAAAAGGATGAAAGTCGAAAACTTTCTCCCCACTAAGACTTCTTTTAGGATTTGCGCTCGATACTAACTTATTCTGACATCTTCCGTACATCAACGAACGAGGTACCATCGTAAAGATTCGTTCATATAGCCCATACGCAAGGATCATTCCAGTCCTCTCAGAGTTTATAGTTTTCTTACTGATCACATGGAAAAAACATAACAAAACTTAATGACGATGAACATTGCGAAACTTTTGCCAACATCTGTTGCCAAACAGACAAAAAGATGTCCGAAACCACGCCACCGAATAAAAACTCGAGCATCCTACACACAACATTCCTGATACATGGGTTTGGAATGGAATCAAGCAAGCAAGCCTTAATACGAGAAAGATTCATAAACTGTTAAACTTGGCTGCATGGAAAGAATTACCTCTCTCTTGTTGAAACGCATGAATCAAATTACTTAAATTTAAGGCCGACGTTTGATCGAAACTGGCAGAGAAAAGATTCAAAAGACACAAGCCATCCAAATGAAGGCATGGAGATTTACCATAACCAGGCAGAACCAGACAACCTTTCACACCGATCACAAGTAGGCGACCGAGAAAAGGAGGACGGCTACCCAAAAATTGCGTGCCATGACTCTCAAACAAAGATCAGCCCTGAATAAGCTATCCAGTAAATCATCCCAACTATGAGAGATTGGAATAAACAACCAATTCCTCCTACAAAGGGTCCTACTTCAACAGGAATAGAGACAGAACGGTAAAAGATTGAAATATATGATGAAACCATAGATAACTACGATACGAGAACATAATATTAGAGGCAATTCAAATATTGAAGGTACCCGCCAACAAAATCCATCAAAACAAAATTTGGGTAATGGAGCTAATGGAATCCAAACAAAAATAATGCCAATTGAGTCAACAAAAGAGAACCAAATTTGAAACTGTTCAATCAAAAACCGCGAAACATGACCTACTCGTCAGCGGGAGCCTTGAAGGCATAGGTGGTACCGCACTTTCCGCAATAATGCCTGTCGAAGTGACTCGCCATGAACGTCCCCGGGCCGCAACCGACAGACGGGCATTCCTTCCTCAGCCTCTGCACTTTGCACGAACCATCGACCTTGTAGAACTGCAGAACCGCGAGCTTCACCTTCTTCTTCGTGTGCTTGATCTTCTTCGGCTTCGTGTACGTCTTCTTCTTTCTCTTCTTCGCGCCTCCTCTGAGACGGAGAACCAAGTGGAGCGTCGATTCCTTCTGGATGTTGTAGTCGGCGAGTGTCCGACCGTCCTCCAGTTGCTTCCCGGCGAAGATCAATCGCTGCTGGTCCGGCGGGATTCCTTCCTTGTCCTGAATCTTGGCCTTCACATTGTCGATCGTGTCGGAGGACTCGACCTCTAGGGTTATAGTCTTCCCCGTAAGGGTTTTCACAAAAATCTGCATCTTTCCTCTGAAAATCTGCAGCTCTCTCTCTCTCTCTCCGCGTAAAAGTGTTTATATAGTATTTTAGGCGGCTCCGAGAAAATTAGGGTTTATAGAGAGAGAGGCACGGGCATTGAGCTTACTTTATTCGAAAATACTGGACTTTTAGGCCCATTAAATGAAAGCCCAAAGTGAAATAATGGGCCTTACAGAGTCCATAAACTACAACCCCCCCCCCCCCTTTTGACCCATCAATTTGTAGTTCTGTAGATAACATATAAATCCTCATCTGCAACAAAGGATTCTATTTTGAAATGATAGATTTTTTTTTTTCTGAAACGCCCATGAACTGATACTGATAGATTATCCATATTTCCTCCTCAGCCTCTGCCATTGATTTTGTCAAAGATTTCTCGGAAAGAAGAATCTGATACACAGAACCTCGATGACGATCGTAGCATCACTACCGGGCATTAACCTCTTTTCTTCTCTGCCGCCGACGCCGCCGCCGACGTCGTCGGGCCCTTCTGCCGGAATCTCGCCACCTCCGCCTCCGATACCGATACCCAAATACCCACCGCCACGCAGGACCCGATTTCCCACAAATACCCCTCGTGCACCTCCAAAACCGCAATCCAGTCCCGCCCTGAAGCTTCCTCACAGACGATCGAAGTACTACAAGCCGGTGAAGGATGGAGTCATATCGGAGGACGGTGAACGCGCTGTTGTGGTGGGCGATTCCGGCGTGTCGTACCAGCTCCCCGGCGCGCCGTTCGAGTTCCAGTTCAGCTACTCCGAAACGCCGAAGGCGAAGCCGCTGGCGATTCGCGAGCCGGCGTTCCTGCCGTTCGCGCCGCCGACGATGCCGCGTCCGTGGACAGGGAAAGCGCCCTTGAAGAAGTCGAAGAAGAAGGTCCCGTTGTTCGATTCCTTCGACCCTCCCGCGGCAAAACCCGGCGTGAAGTACGTCGAAATGCCGGGCCCGTTTCCGTTCGGGAAGTACCCCAAGGAAGGCAAAACGAGAGAGGAGATTCTCGGGGAGCCATTGAAGAAGTGGGAGATTCAGATGCTAATAAAGCCGCATCTGCACGAGAATCGCCAGGTTAATCTGGGTAAGTGTCTGTTTCTCCAAAGACAAGAGTTCTCGACTTTCATTCTCCTTGAAAAGTTTTCGGATTGACGGAGAACATGTATGTATACTACATGTTCAGGAAGAGATGGATTTACGCATAATATGTTGGAAATGGTACATAATCATTGGAAGAGACGTCGTGTCTGCAAGGTTCGCTGCAAAGGTGTTCCGACAGTTGATATGGATAATGTCTGTCGTGTTCTTGAGGTATTATTGCAAGCTTCCGGTTCACTGTCTAAAACTTTATATATTAGAAACTTGAAGGAAATATCACAGTTTGCGAAAAGATTTCCTTATATCGAATTTTGCAGAGATTGCTTTCTCCTTGATTTGGCAAAATGTTTGATGTCTGTTATCATTTCTATCTCTCGAAGAGTGCAGTTGGTCTTTGTATTCGATGTGTTTCTGCTGCTTGGTTTGTTCTAAATGCTATTGCTCTTGTGCTTTTGATGAAACTAGCCTGGAATCTGATCTTTACTGATATATCGTTGTTCTCTACATCGTCTGAATTCTTTTTTTGATATAGACATCTGATGAGTTTGTCTCTGAGTTCAAACTCTTTCCGATTGTTTGACTACTATCACTGATTCCGCAGTTGGGCAGGGGTTAACACTATCCAATGTGGTTTTCTTGGGTTCTCGTTCCAGGAAAAGACTGGAGGAAAGATCATTCACAGAGTCGGAGGTGTCTTGTACATCTTCAGGGGAAGAAACTACAATTACCGAACACGTCCACAGTATCCGTTGATGCTATGGAAGCCGGCAGCTCCTGTTTATCCAAAGCTCATTCAAGAAGCTCCCGAGGGATTGACAAAAGCCGAAGCTGACGAGTTGAAGGACAAGGGGAAGTCTCTTCTGCCCATTTGCAAGTTGGGTAAGTTTGTCTTATGGTAAAAGCTTTTGAGGTGGCACTCTACTGACGTAAACTGACCAATAGAGATGAAATATTTGTCTAAAATGTTAAACGATGCTGCAGCGAAAAATGGGGTCTATATTTCACTGGTTAAAGATGTGAGGAATGCCTTTGAACTGAGTCCTTTGGTGAAGGTAGACTGTAAAGGACTTGAGCCAAGCGATTACAAGAAAATAGGCGCTAAGCTTAAGGTCTCTTTCCATTCTTCAGCTTCTCTCTATAGCCATGTCTTTATTAGTGCTTCTTTTTTTTGCATGGGGTTCTTGTCAACATATCACAAAGCCTCGTGCTTCATAATTCTCATAGCAGGAACTGGTGCCTTGTGTGCTTCTGTCTTTTGACAACGAGCAAATACTCATGTGGAGAGGAAGAGATTGGGAATCACAGTTCCAAAACAACACTTTACCTCTAAACACTTCTCACACAAACATGGCAAACGATCCACGTTCTTCAGGTACTAACTCTGAGTTTGCTGGAAAAAAAAAAGAACATCTTCATGTTGTGTTTTATGGGTTTTAACCGTCTTTGAAATATCGAGATAACACCGAAGAAATCTCTGCTTAGATTTCACTCAAACTCGATTTAATACCATCATTACACATTTCATATACCATGTGTTAAGGCCCACGTCGAAAGTTTTTCTTTTGTTTTTTTCCACGATGAACAGTGGTGACCTCTCGATCCTTGCTTCTGTGGTGTGTCTGTTGCCATCTGCTGATTGATGTGTTGTGTTCTTCAGATACTGTGTCTGATCCCAATACGGTGATCTCAAGTCCGAAAATGATGTCGCTATGGAAACGAGCCATGGAATCTAGCAAAGCAATGATTCTGGAAGAGCTTGATCTGAACCCAGATGATCTCTTGAAGAAGGTGGAAGAGTTTGAAGGCGCTTCACAGGCTGCGGAACACACTTACACGGCTCTGGTCTTGTCGGACAGAAGAGATGATGACGGTTCGGTGTCCGAGCTCGAGAACTATGATTACATTGACGATGACTTTGACGACGAATTCTCGGACGGGGAATCCGTTCCACTGGGATCATTGCCCGTTGATCGGATAGCTGAGAAGCTCAGAGAGAAATTAAAATAAGATCCATTGGTGTTGGTTTTAAGAACGGAACTTGTAAATATGTATGCCCCTCATATTCAGAACACATTCCCGAGTTTGACTCAACATTTTCTGTAGACTAAATCTTTGACATGTTCTGAAACATGTCGGCTGAGTCATGCGAACTGTCGGAAGAAATCTGGGAACCAAACCAAAATCTTTTGTTCTCAAGAGAAATCTGAGGACAACAAATAAAATAAACAGAGCTCGATATCAAGGCAAGAGATTTTAAAAAGGAGAAAACGGTGTGGCAAAATGAGAGCCAAGCATTTGACGTCAACGTCATCGAGAGGAACTCAAATCGAAATCCCCCACGATCTCTCTCCCATGGGCCATGGACGAATTTCGAAACCAACGGCTTTCAAAATCAGAAGCTTCTTCTTTCTCTACGAGCGCATTGTTTTTTTTTTTCTCTTTTTGCTTTCAGACAGAGAAGAGAAGGGTCTGATCGTATTTCTTTTAGAGTAACCCATTTCGATGGGAAGCAAAGCATATTCTCCTTCAGTTTCTGCCATCGGACCGTAACTGCGAAGCCTTTCTCCTTTTACCCCCAGGTATCGATCTCTCGATTTTGCCCCCGTTTTTTTCTTTGTTTTTTTTTTCCTGAGCTCCTCAAGTAAAGAATCTGTCTCTTGCTTTGAATGTTACTTCTAGGTGTTCTGGGTTTATGGGTTTATGTCTCCCTCTCTTCTTTTGTTTTGATTTTTTAGTTTACGAACACGAAACCATCGAAATCGTGATCTTTCAACCCAAATCCGTGATGGGTCATCATGGATTTCTCGCCCTAGCTTTTCTTTCTGTTTCTGATCGCTTTTTGGATCGGAATTTATTAGGTTGTTGTTAAATCAGACAAAACTCACTTTCAGAAACGCTTTTGCTTAGTGTAGTATGTTATATACTCTGTCTGAGCATTCCTACAACTCTGGAACATAACTCGGAAGCAAAAGACAGAAATAACTGATGAAGGGTGGCCTTAGCCGAATTGATGTGTCGGGTTTCTTGACAGGTTCAACTGAGCATACTTGGCAGCCGAAAATGTCGGCCCAGACAAATGTCCCCAGTTACTGGTTGAACTGGAGGTTCTTCCTCTGCGCCATCTTCCTCTTAACGGCTATCCTTCTTTCGTCTTTTCTGATATGGAAGTTGGAATGTTCGAGAAAACGGAAAAAACGTAACGATCATCATGAATTTCCCGGTGTTGTATGCGAAGATGAGGCGTGGAATACATGTACCGAAGGGATTCATCCGAATTGGTTGCTTGGTTATCGAGCTTTCGGCTTCATTGTTCTTCTGGGACTTATCAGTGGAAATGCCATTGCAGATGGAACAGGAATTTTCATCTTTTACACACAGTGAGTTTAGTGTATATTACATTTCTCCCATAGTGATTGAAGAGGTTTCACATTGCGAGGAAAATCCACGTTACTTGTGCTGAATGCTGATTGATGATAGTGTTGTTTTTCTGTGTTTCTTTTCTCTTTCTTCTGATCAGATGGACTTTCACCTTGGTCACAATCTATTTCGGGGTATGCCTTTTCCTCACTTGGCTACCGTTTCCGGGTTTGATTGTAGAAAATATGATAAAATCGTTTCTCCACATGTATTAGATATACAGATCGGAAGGATCATGAGATTCTGATAACTTTACGGTCCAATGGCCGACAGTTCTTCTAAATTTTGGAGTGCATATTTGCAGTTGGCAGCCTCGATGTCAGTCTATGGATGTTGTGTAAAACCAAAGAGAAATAGCGGTAACATCGATAATAGAGATGAAGAGCGTGGTTCATATAGACCTCCCATTGATGGCGAAATCTTCGACATGATCAAAGCTGCAAATGCACAAGAAGATTGTATCTCCGAATGCCAGATCGCAAGCATAGGAGGTTTCATCCTTCAGATTCTCTTTCAAGTAAGTGGAGTTTTTGGCTTATAACATTGATGTTTCAATAAATATCCAAAATCTGTATCAATCCAATCTTTGTGCAGGAAACTTTAGTTTAGGAAGAATCCTTTACTTTAAGATGGTCTTGATTTCACATGTCATTTTCATTTAGGAAGAAGTTTTTTTTTTCTTGACAACTAACTCGATTTTCCCGTGAGGATAGACGTGTGCAGGTGCAGTGCTGCTCACGGACTGTGTGTTTTGGTTCGTTATCTACCCTTTTCTGACGGCCAAAGATTACAGTCTCGACTTTGTAAGTATCGGCTCTTGTTCTTACATTTCAAAATCCCGCCGGACCGTGAATGTCATTCCGGTCAGAACTAAAACATTTGGTAATCACTCTCAGCATATCATTGTTTTTTCTATTTGTGTTTGAATCCGAACATAAAATCCAACATATAATCACCGATTAGTACATTATCTCCTACCATCCTGTCTCTGCTCTTTGTCCTCTTTTGTCTTCTGTTGCGTATCGGGTCACATTTTCCTGTAGGTAATAATCTTTGAGGCTCATATTACGTATGGTTTCCGTCCATACTTGCAGTTCATCGTTATCATGCACTCTGTTAACGCAGTTTTCCTACTCGGAGAAACTTTCTTGAACTCTCTGGTAAGTGTTTCTGTTGTTTTCCTTCAGTAGCTCTATTCATAGATACATGGAAAGATCATGATGACCATGATGATGATGGTGTTTTTTTATGTATACATACAGAGGTTCCCTTTCTTCAGGATTGCCTACTTTGTGCTATGGACCGGCATTTTCGTAATATTCCAGTGGATAGTTCATGCTTGCATCTCCTTCTGGTGAAACCCGACATTCTTCCATGTCTTTTCCTTGAACTTTGGAGTCATGAAAGTGGTTTTGTGTTGAAGTAAGACTCGTTCGTGCAGGTGGCCATACCCGTTCCTTGATTTGTCGTCCCCATACGCTCCTTTATGGTACGTTACATGAAATCACTGTTGAGTATGAAAATTTTACTTATTTCATCTTAAATACTTGTTCACCTAAAAACGTAACCCGGTTAATCAAATTTTTTTACGTACCCGATTAATCAAATTCAAACTTGGATTATTCAACCGGTGAAAAGGGCTCTTTCCGTCGGCCTAAAATACCCAATTAACTAAAAAAATTATAATGGAATATGTAGCATGACACGTTTCTGAGATTTGCGTCTATATGAACCCATCGTTATAGTTTATTGAATGGAAAAGATCGAAATAAATATGGAAGGTACGCAGCTGTGGGGATAATGCACGTACCATGTTTCGGGATCTTTGCATTGGTCGTGAAGTTGAAGTACTTGTGGCTCTCCAAATTGTGCCCGTGAATCAACACGTTGTGCATCCAGATAAACCAAAATTCTCGTTACGAGAACCAACAAATTCTATGATTTTTTTTTCCGTAACGATATTGATTGGCCGTATATATGTGTGTGTATATACATACATATACACACGGTTTTTTTGTGGTATATGGCGTCCTTTGTTGGATATGGATAAAATGTACCTGCAATAAATATGAAACAAAAAGAGGGATAATAAGTCGGATGGTTTTGGACCGTCTGTTGTTTAAATGGAGTTATTACATAATTTACGTTACACCTGTCTCCCTTGTGGGATATATGCCGGCCGTCGAAACTCTTTTTTATTATTATATTATTATCATTTGCTAATTTTTTTTTTGGTATAATGAAAAAAAAAATGGGTATAAGTGGGTAGCCATTTTTTGAGAATGAAGGTGGGATTTAATACATTTCAAAGGGGCAGTTGAGGACATGCTGAACGTTACGTCGTAACGTTATCTTATAAGATATTATTAGATCCATCCATCGTACTATATATGCATTTAATATCTGTACCCCGCACTGCTCCTCTGTGGCTGTGGATTGAAATGAGATACCATTCATTCAAATATATACATGTGATGTACATGTATATGTGTATGTATATGTATGTATCCAAGAGAGATATTATATGATAGGCGAATATCAAAATCTTACACAGAATATGGAAAGTCTCTTTCTCCCTTATCCAAACGCATTCATACGATTCCGGTTGTCTTATGGTCCCTATTCCTGTTGCTTCTCATCCATCCTTTTTATTTATTTATTATATTATATATATCATTTACCGACTTGACTCAACGATAAAACTATTTACCGTAAGTTTTGAGATCCCGAGTTCGAATCAATCTCTACATAAATACAGAGATAAGATTGTCTAGTATTTTCTTTTTTCCAACACCCCTACAAGATGGGATACAAACTGGATTTTTCATTTACATTATATTAGGGCTGGACACAAATACCGAAAACAGATACTCGTTTCACAGATACCCGATTTTAGAGTTTTCGTAATTTTCAAATCCAAATCCAAATCCCGATTTTTCAATATCCATGAATCCAAATCCAAATCCGGATAATAAAATTTTTAAAAACGGATCCCCGCGGGTACCCGACTATTATGATTATAAATAATTATATCTTATATTTATATAACATTTTTATAAAATATAATTAGTTTAGATTAAATAATATCATATTTTTTAATATTAATTCAAAAAATTAAATTTATTATTATTTATCTCTTATTATCTCTTTTATCTCATATATTTTATCATAATTTATCAATTTTTATAAATATATCTTCATTTTTTGAAAATTTTTAAAAATTTTATATATAAATATTGTTGTTTTTCTTAAATAAATCTGAATCCAGATACCCGCGAATGCCCGACCATTATTCTGGATATCCGTACCCTGGATACTCGTACTCGTAAATACCAAATCCCAGATACAAATCTTATAGTTAAATACCCGATTCATCCGGATTCAAATCCAAATCTCTCGATTTTCCCGAATATTCTACCCGTGTCCACCCCTACATTCTATACATATAGAAATTCTGATACCTCATGTTTTTTCAACATCGTTTCCAGTCTTTACCGGTTCTACGTACTTTTTTACATTGTAATTTTTTTTTTTTGTGAAAGATCAAAATAATTGGGGGGACCATGAGAGAGAGAGAGAGAGAGAGAGAGAGGAGCTCGTTTTTCCGACGATTTTATCCAATTCGCGTTCCCGCGCTTCTCTATATGTAAACTCGCCACTCCCTCCCTCTCTCTCTCATCTCAATAACAGACTTAGATTCGATCCCTAATTCCAAGGGCGACAATGGAGGTGGCGAATCGGAAGAATGATACAGAGGAAGCTTTTGCCCATGGTGACATTCTTGAATCCATATTGTCCCGCGTGCCTCTCATCCACCTCCTCCCTGCCTGCTCCGTCTCCAGATCCTGGAACCGCGCCGTCTTCTTCTCCCTTCGCCGCCGAAGGATCAAGCCTTGGCTCTTGCTCTATCCCTACATCAGGACTCCGCCGCACGCCGCCGTGGCGCTCGCTTACGATCCCCGCTCCAACGTCTGGATCCATATCAGAACAGCTCCTCCCCTTGACAAGGTGTCCGCCGTCCGATCCTCTCACTCCACGCTCCTCTACGCGCTATCGCCGTCGGGATTCTCCTTCTCCGTCGACCCGCTCCATCTGGCGTGGCGCCACGTGGTCGGCCCGCGCTTCTGGAGGATCGTGAAAGTGATAAAATCGCAAAATTCTCTGGAGGATCGCCCCAATTGTGGCCGTCGTCGGCCGCTTCATCGTTGTTGCCGGCGGCGTCTGCGACTTCGAGGACGACGTCTTGGCCGTCGAGTTGCTCGACACCGACACCGACGTATGGGAGACGTGCGAGTCCATGCCGGAGATGCTCAAGGACTCCGCCGCATCATTGTGGCTATCCGTCGCGGCGAGTACCGATAAGATGTACCTGACGGAGAAGAGATCGGGAATGGCGTATTCCTTCGATCCTAAAACCCGATCGTGGACAGAGCTCTCCGATCTCCGTCCTGTCAGAGAAGATGGTCGCTGCGACGTGTACTTGCGCGTGATCGGATTCGCCGGAGACCGTCTAATAATGGCTGGGATCACCGGAGAAGAAGAGAATCCGACGGGGATCGAGCTGTGGGAAGTGGCCGATGAGCTTAGGGGGGTATTCAAATCGATCGGATCCATGCCCAAGGAGTGTTTGGATAAACTCAGAGGAGAGGATCATTCGAGTTCACCGCTAACGTCAATCGCGTTGAACGTGGCGGGGGAGATGGTCTACATTCATAGCAATAATCAGACAGCGGAAGCTGGAGAATTTGTAGCGGCGGAGATGGCAGAGGGAAAGCTCTGCAACTGGACGACCTTTTGTAACGCTAACGCGGTGGGAAAGCGTTTCGTAGCCGCATGCTCCGACGTGAGATTCCGCGATTTGAGACGCGCGTTGAGTGAGAACTGCGTTTTCTCTCTTGTCCCCTAACCTATAAGGGCTAAAACGTAATTGTGTTACTCTTAGTTCTAATTGCCCCTATAATTTTCCCAAGTTTCGGTTTTCCCCCTGTGTGGGCTTTGAAATTTGTACCAACGCGTGATAATTTCGGGGAATCAGTTAGAATAAATTACGGTCAACACAAAAACCACCCGTAATAAATAATAAGATATTTTAAAATGCTTTAGCATCAGAAAAATGCTGACTATAATAATTGTAAATTAATTGAATCAGATTAAGTAAAAAAATATACCAATGCATTTTAGAAATTGGTGGCACATGACCAAAATATGTATTAGAAATTAGAATTACGTTATATATATATATATATAATGTTCATAATTATTTTTAATTGTAATGTCAGTGGTATTCAGGGAAATTAAATCCACGTGCATTGCGTTATCTGGAGAGCTGTTTTCAGAAGGTTGGCCTAACCCATCAGACTTTGTTATGCCGTGCAATGTTCAGCCTTCTTTTCTCCTTCTTGTTACGCCATAACACATATATATATATATATATATATATATATATAGAAACGCTGTATATAAGAAAAAATATTAATTGCGATTGATTTTTCCATTTATAATTTAATGTAACTTAAGGGTGTTGACGATGTCTTTCCTCTATAACCACAACGTTTCAATATATTTTTTATAATCCATAAATTCATCAAAACTTTGTTCCACACTGCATTTTCCATAAGATCCGGAAACCAACTGAATGATCAACTCCAAATATAAAATCGAATTTTTGTTGAAAAGTAGCTTTAACCAGCTGATACCCACCTCATCTTGTAAGATTTTGTTCATATTCCACTAATATACAAAAATCCAAACACGATGCAAATTTCGTGTTTTCTGCACCTTTATACAATCGGCAAATTGATAGAGACGAGATGGGGAAAGATTGCTTTATGAAAATTTCATACACCACAAAGCCGATGTCATGATATTCATTTACAGGCTTATTGATATATATATATATGTATATACACACATGCGCGCGCGTATATATCACTTCCAGAAACAAAAACATATCGTTATTTTATGCTGAAATTATGTACAAAACTAACAAAAAACAAGAGCATCTTAATCAAAATGACAGAAAGCATAGTAATTTATATCATTTACATGAACAAGAACAGAACTGAAATAACACAACAACATCTCAAAACGCACACAGACAGAACAAACATCGCATTCAACCATGATCATGGCCAACAACATATATCACATTTTCGACCAACAGAACACTAAACAGAGAGATACCTTAAAAAAAAAAAAAAGGTAAGCAGACATATAAGTGGCTATATATAGAGAGCATGTAGATGAGTTAGGTGCTCGACATGATATAGAACCGAACCCATCCAGCCGTTCCGTGACTTGCCGTGTTGACCCGTACGTCACTTAACCGGTCGGTTAAGCTCAGGGAGAGAACATTGGAGAGATGAAACCCTCAGGACCAGACAGAAGCTTCGGTGGAAGCTCCTCTCCCCACTTGGACCAAGCCTCAGCTTGATGCTTCCTATTGGGCAATCTTCCACCGCCGAGTAAGGAGCCCTCTCCTCTCTCTTTATATATAATTTATTTCTTTCTTTTTTCAACATAAAAAATGGTGATATACTTGGTCATAATGGAGTTTATTTGGAAAAAAAAAGTAAAATAAATTGCGTAAAATCTAATCAATTCAAAATTCTGATACATGTATTCTACGTATTCAAAACAAAAGTTTGACCAATGGCCATATAATAGGAACGATTAAAATGTGCAGTGTATGATCTCATTTCTTTATGGGGTCAATTGCAAAAATACCCTTAAATAATACAAACTTCAAGCTATACCCTCACGTAAAAAAAAAAAATGACACTATCATAAATACCTTTATAAATATACATTTTCTATAGTACTCTCTCCTTTTTCATTTAATATAATTATATAAATAAGTTTTTTTTTATTTCTCTCTCTTCTCTCTGGTTCTCTCTTTCTTTTATTTATCTCTCCTCTGTTACGTTCTCTTTCTCCAGTTAAGCTCTCTCTCTCTTCAAATTTTTATTCTTTCATATGATTTCTTGGTTAATTAATTGGAAAAAATAAAAGAAATCTCTAAAATTTTCATCTAATAAGCAATAATCTCGATAATTGATAAATTTTCATTCTAAAATTCATTTTTTTATTTTGGACATTTAGGGTTTATTTTGCTTTTATATTTATATTTGATTTATATGATATAAATGAAAAAAACGAAACATATATCAATATAATGTCATATTATATAGATATAAATGAGTTAAAATCAATATTACCATGATCCACACCAATTAAATTGATCATAAAGTTCCATGAATGAATCGTGGTCAAATAATCTAACACATCAAGTCAGTTAAACTAGTCAAACCCTTCGAAACGGTCATACTCGTAAGAATCGTCAAACTAGTCACACTCGTTTGGGGTTTCGGGTTTAGCCACACTTGTGTGGAGTTTGGCTTTTGGGTGTGACGAGTCAAACTGGTCAAATGATGTTCTAAATTAAATTTCTAAAGTTCAACGTGGTATATAAAGGCTATTATGACGTATTTAACGTGTTTTTGTTATTCGTAAATCATGAGAGAAAATAATATATTCTACCCTAAGCCAATGTGTTACAAAAAGTGTAATAGAACTTTGGGGTTTCATTTGGGAGAACATGGATAGTAAAAAAAATAAGGTGTTAAATTTAGAGAGTTGCGATTATTTGTTATTTATGAAAGTTGTTATACGAGGTGTTTATTAACATGTTCATAGTGTGAAAAT